AACGTTGGGTACGGATATCCACGGCTGCACTTATTTTGGGACGGAGGTAGTAAATAAGGAGAGAGAAGAGCAGTTGGCTACAGATTTGTAGCCAGCTGTAGCACGGACTTCAAAACACAGTATGTATATGATAGGTGGGATCAAGTATTAATAGTGTAGTATGTAACTATTGTATGAATGAACTATTAAATTGACTATAGATAAATTAGAGATTCTAGTTGGCTATACTATTAAACTTGCTCAAAAACGGAGATGAACACATGAGATCGCACAAGGCCCGAGAACTCCACGTCAGGAGAAGTTAACACCGTGGTTTCCTGGCCAACTGATCTCTGTCCCCCCTGTCACCCTGTGGTCAGATCTTTAGGCATTCGAAATGGATCGGAATATGGTCAACGCCAGTTCCGCGCTCTGTACCGCTGGTCGCTGGAATCTCGAACGAAGGCAGTTTGGGGATTATACTTTGCATGGAATGTCTGGTTGTACTACTACATGTGTGCGTGACTGCGTGCTAGACATGCATTTCTGGCAGGTGTGCAATGGAGGAGTACAGTGGAGGCAGAGCTGCAATAATGTAATGTGTGAACGTACTCCCTCCGTCCCTTAAAAAAATCGATTCCTACATTCCCAAGACAAGTTTAGTACTAAGCTTCAGTTCTTTCCTTCAACAAGAGTTAGATGAAGGTTGTGTTTAGTTCACGCCAAAATTGAAAGTTTGGTTGAAATTGAAACGATGTGATGAAAAAGTTGAAAATTTATGTGTGTAGGGAAGTTTGTGATGAAAAAGTTGAAAGTTTGAAGAAAAAATTTAGAACTAAACTTGGCCGAAGATTAAGATTTTCATGGCACGCTTTTCAAATTGCTAAACGATGTATTTTGTGCGAAAACTTTTTATATGAAAGTTATTCTAAAATATTACTCCCTCTGTTCTAAAATATAGGGCGCAACTACTTTTTAAAGGTGTTTCATAATATAAGGCGTGCATGTATGCATGACAATTAATAGCATATTCTCTCTTCTAAATTATTGTTTTTAAATCAAGATGCTTAATTCTATTGGGTGCATGCATTGTATTAGTTAAGATTATTCAAACAAAGAGGTGATAATAATGGTTTTTTGGTCTTTGAGTTTAGAGTGGTTGTGTCTTATATTTTGGAATGGAGGGAGTAAAACTCAATTAATCACACGTCACCTCTTTATATTTATCTTCTTGTATTTGATTTTATGTAATGGCAGATTCGCTAAACTCCGCTAGAAAACTTCCTGCTGTGTAATTTTTTTTTAGAATTACTGCTGTGTAATCTCTTGTTCTTTATTTAGACTGTGTTTAGTTCACACTGAAGTTTGGAAGTTTGGTTGAAATTGGTACGATGTGATAGAAAAATTGTGTGTGCACTGGTGGAAAAATGCTTTTTACTCCCGGTTTAGAACCCTTTGTAGTCCCGGTTTTCTAACCGGGACTACGAATCCGGGACTAAAGATCGATCTTTAGTCCTGGTTGGTAACACCAACCGGGAGTAAAGAGGGGGAATCTTTAGTCCCGGTTGGTGACTAAAGACCTCGAGATCTTTTTTATTTTATTTTATTGTTGATTTGCTAATGGCTAGTGTTAATCCCTGTATTTTCTCCCGAATCAAATGGGATGCATATCTCCAAATCAACATCCTAAATATTAAGATCAAATACATCACAAATCCTACACACAGATCAAATACATCACAAATCCTAAAAAACTACACACAAATTAAATACATCACAGATTATACAAATTATACATCTCAGATCCATGTGATGCAATGAATCACAACATCTAAAAAATTATAGATCCAATGAAACACAAATTACAAAAAAAAAAAAGCAAACGAGCAGCCGACTGCCCGCGCGCAGCAGCCGCCGCCGCCGGCCGCCTGCCCACCGCCGCCGCCCGCCGGCCGCCAGCCTCCACGCGCGCGCCCACCGCCCGCCGCCCGCCTTCACGCGTGCGGCCGCGCCGCCGCCACCCGCCTCCTGCCCGCCGCCACCGCCCGCCGTCGGCCGGCTGATGGAAGAGGGAGTAGAGGGGAGGAGGAAGGGCCGGCTGATGGGAGGAAGGAGAGGGGAGGAAGAGAAGAGGAAGGGGAGGAGGGAAGGAAGAGAGGGGAGAGGAGGAGGAAGAGGATTGGATCTGAGAAGAGGAATAGAGGGGATTTCCAATCTTATCTAACTATCTGTTTGGACTTAACCGATCAGATGTGGGAGAGAAATATTTACTCCCGGTTGATAACTACAACCGGGAGTAAAGATCGATCTTTAGTCCCGGTTGGTATCACCAACCGGGAGTAAAGATCAATCGATCTTTACCAACCGGGACTAAAGTGGTAATCTTTAGTCCCGGTTGGTAGTATAAACCGGGACTAAAGATCCTCGACCCCCTAACATACATCTGACAGGGGATGAACCGGGACTAAAAATCATCTTTAATTCCGGTTGGTGTTACCAACCGGGACTAAAGATCAAAATTTTTTTAACCGGGACTAAAAATCGTTTTTAGTCCCGGTTTTAATGGAACCAGGGCTATTGTGGGATTTGGTCGACCGACCAAAGATGGTTTGTCCACCAGTGGTGTATGAAAGGTTTGATGCGATGAAAAATTGAAAGTTTGGAAAAAAAAAACTTTAAAACTAAACAGGACCTTAATGGAAATTTAGATGGGGAATCTCTCCTCTCCAGTGAACGTTCAAGTGGTTGTGACCCTGTTTTGGTTTTTTTCTATAAAAGCTGGTTCATGTGGCCTTTTCTACTTGTGTTCTGGTTGTTCTGTGTACTTGTGTTTTCCGAAAGGTCCTTAAAATTATTTCTAAAATTTAAAACCAACTTTACCTAAGCCAAACACCCAACTATTTTTTGATCAAAGAGGGGCAACATAAGCAATCTTTTACTCCATAATATTGCCGGACGCATTCGCTCAAGCGCACGTAGATGCCGGCGAGTGATGCTCCAGCTGCCATGCAGACATGCAGTGCTACTGCTCGAGGATGTAAACGTGCGATGCCAACTGATATAGGCCATGTTTAGATCCCGCCTTATAATTTTTCGCCCTGTCACATCGAACGTTTAAATACCTGCATAAAATATTAAATATAGGCTAAAAAATAACTAATGGCACAAATTGCGACTAGTTTACGAGACAAATCTTTTAAGCTTAATTGCTCCATGATTTGATAATGTAGTGCTACAGTAAACATTTACTATTGATGGATTAATTAGGCTTAATAAATTCGTCTCGCAGTTTACGGACGGAATCTATAGGTTGTTTTATTATTAGACTATGTTTAATAATTTAAATATGTGCTCATATATCCGATGTGACACGGTAAAACTTTTCACCTAGATTTATGAACATCCCCATAGTTGCGCTACGAAGCTTCCTTACGTTGGACTGTCAGACCGCATCATGTCTCTTTGACATCTTTTACATAACTATCTAAATTCCCGTGTTTTGCAAACTGCAACGAATATTATAAAGATAAAAACAAAAACAAAAAAAGGGCCCGACATATTTGCAAGCAAAAAATAATTTGTAAATAAAACTTTTATATGTGTTCTTAGCGATCTAAAAGCAAATGTTGAAAAATAAATTTCGATGAAAAAAAATCTCAAGATCAGCAAGTTAGAAAAATAGAACTTTATATGGGAGTAGCTATAAATCTTTTCACACATATTTTAAATTTTTAGATTAAAATCCAATAGACATAGTAAAAAGCAAAAAGCAACTAAGAAACATCATAATGGATACTAAATTACCATATCTTCGAGAAAAAGACCAAATCCAATATAAATTTCAAAACAAAAGTTACCATGTAAATTTCATAAATTACAAGAAAATACACTGTAAATTTGAGTGAGAGATAAAAGAAATCTTTCGAGTGAGATATAGCAAAATTGACTTTATGGGCCTGTTTGATAGAGCTCCAACTCCTAAATTTAGCTCTAGGAGTTGGGTCTGGAGTGGAGTTGTGGAGCTGTCTAAACCCAGCTCCACAACTCTAGTTTATTTTGTGAGAGCTCCACCCAGCTCTGCTCCCATTTTAGGTGGAGCTAAAACTGTTTGGCTGAGCTCCAGCTCTAAGAGAGGTGGAGCTGAAGCTTGTGCCAAACATGCCCTATATATAGCAAAAAAAAAAAAAAAGTCCAGCTGCTTCAACGCCGCCACCCGCAACTCGTTAATTGTTGGTCGAGGGGAAGAGATACGTCACGAGGATGATCCATCCGCCGTCCTGGCCACGGCCCACGGCCCACGCACTTCAATATTCGGCCCAACAAACGCGCAACCCTGTAGGCTGTAGCTGATGCAACGTCCCGAAAGGGTCTCCACCAGAGTCAGCTCTAAACCCTAAACCAAACGTACCACCACCAGCTCACCCGACAAAATATAGGCATAGCAACTACCCCCTCCGTCCCATAATATAAGAGATTTTGAGTTTTTGCTTGTAACGTTTGACCACTCATCTTATTCAAATTTTTTTGAAATTATTAATTATTTTATTTGTGACTTACTTTATTATCTATAGTACTTTAAGCACAACTTTTTATTTTTTATATTTGCAAAAAAAATTTGAATAAGACGAGTGGTCAAACGTTACAAGCAAAAACTGAAAATCCCTTATATCGTGAGACGGAGGGAGCATGAGTTATCAGAGCCATAATGGCTGTCAGGTTTGCACACCCGAGCACATGTTTTACTCTCTCCCTCCCAAAATATAATATATATTTTTTTAAGATGGGACATATCCTACTACTATGAATTTGGACATGTCTCATATCTAGATTCGTAGTAATATGATACATCCCATCTAAGTAAAAATTGTTATATTTTGGGACGGAGGGAGTACAAGAGTAGCAAAATTCACAGATGCAGGAAAATTATGCAGAATATTGCTCTATTCTAACTCTTGCTGTCAAGCTTTTAGAATCAGTCGCAGCAGCGCAATGCACTCAACTCTAGGATGTTTTATCAGTGCTTTTCTTTTTCTGCACAAAAGGCAGGAATTGTAGACACAGTTTAATCATAAATGTCGTCATAGAAAACACTACTGTTATAACCATGTTAAACACTCGAACTACATAAGCCTTACAAGAGAATTTGCCTATGCCTCTTCTAAACAACTCTTCTGATTAAATGACATTCCAGAAAATTAGTACACACACCAGTCTCCACATACACACAAATACAGACCATGGCAATTATACGTTAGGTTGATTTCCTCATTATACCAGTGATCCACAATTACCGGAGCATAGAAAACACCAACTTCGGAGTACTGTACAATCACTCAAATGAGCATGAATTTTCACCGAACATACCAAATTGCTCGATCAAGTCCTGATACCAGGGTTTAACAACAGAACCTCCACCATGCCACCATCTTATGCCAGCAGAAATGCACGTAAGAGCAACTGAGCAAACGGTTAAAAATGCCATAGCAGTCTGTGTGCATAAACAGAGAGATATCCTGGCAAAGTTATGTATCACACAGCTACGAGGCATTTCTTTTGCTGCTCTTTGACAGGTTATAGTTATACATGCCACTAAAATCAGAGCAGATGCATCTGGTCTTCTTACAACTCAACATCCCCCTACATAAAAGCAGAACAATATACTATCCGTTAATAAAGAGCTGTTACTGATGGTAAAAATACATATGTGCAAATCTGTTGTTCAATACATGAAAAAGATAATGACAAAAGGATGATGATTCTTTCAGAAGTATATTAAAATTTACCAACTCTTTCGATTATACTTTAAAGGCACCCTGCTATTCCTATTCATTTTGACAAATAAAAAAGGAGTAGATAAGAATGAGCAAAAGATTTACTCATCTTTTGTACAAGTAGATATTGATTTACAATCTGCAATTCTATCACTCAGAAGAACAGAATTTAACCACCTATTAGTCTATTACATAGTACAAATTTTAAAAGTTGAATATTTTTTACGAGATGCATTATGGTATTTCAAAGCTGCCAAATGTCCTCTGCTCTGGTCCTGCTACATCTTTGTCCATTTGCTCCTAAGTTTCTAGGAATACCTCTAGGCCCTAGTGCTCTTGCCTGGGGTTGCGATGCCACTATTCATCTAGACAAAAAAAAAAGTCATCTCAAACAATTCATCAGAGTTAAACATTATGAGATGCTCCCAAGGGTTTAGCAATAAGTCAAAACACTAACTACAATGAGCTAGAGTATATCACAACAAAATGAGTAATTTTACAGTCCTTGAGGAGGTACCATGAGGTACTATTTTTTCTATTGTAAATTTAGTATCTCTTGATACCTAGGTACTATCAGGTACCAAATTTTACATTAAATTTTTTGGTACCCCATGGTACCTCCTCAAGGAATGTAAAATTGCTCCAACAAGATATACAGCTCAATACACTGCTTTTGACATCAAAACAAATGAATTATAGATGTAATAGAACGGTAGAGGGATAAGCCTTTTCTTAGAAGTTTAACAAGTAGAGTATAGTGAAAAGAGAAAAGGGCATTAAGAAAATATTTCAGGACCTAGTGTATGGATTGCATGTATGAGTTATCCTGCGTTGCCCTGAGGCCATTCCACATCAAAATAAACACATAGAGTTCACAGTCCATAACCTATCAGACAAAGCGATAGCCATATTCATGTATGAAATATGGCTGCACCATTGGGCATAGTAGAATTTTAGTTGACCTCAATGCCTTGTGCAAATGTATTTACAAAAGTCTATTGGTTCAGATAGACAGAGCGCATGCACATAGCATGAGTGTAGCTCGAATACAAACCTCACATTTATTGTAAGAGCAAAAGAACAGATGAGTTCCTACAAATTTTGCAATTACTTAAGCTTCAGCTAGGGAACAATGGAAATCAGCACAGCAGAGAAACCAGTCCTTTAATTTTGTTTGCATAAGGGTTGTTGAAAGAAGCAATGTGTATGTAGCAAAAATCCCATTCAGCTCTAATTACATGAATCACCAATAGCAACATATAATCAAGTACAAATCATGTATAACAATGCCATAAATTTAATAACTTTGCAGCAAATCAAATAAATACTCAGAACAGGATATAACGTAGCTTAGCGAACTATTTGGATTATACTATAACACATGGTTGCTGAAATACATCTCCTTTTCTCTTCCCATTAGGAGGGGACAGGCCCCATTTTTTACTTCCATTAAAACAGAACAAACCATCTTGAACCACTCATAAGAAGATCAACATGACAAGATGCTCAATGCTTCAGCAACTTAACTAAAAGGACATACTGGAACTAAATATGCACCGATAGTAAAGATCAAGTGTTGCGATTAAAAAGAAGCACATCACACACAACCAAAGAGGCAAAGACCAATATCAGTCTTTAAACATAAGGAACTAGATGTAGCTGGACAGCACAGCGAAAAGCTTACAATTTGCATTTTAAGCAGCATACTGAAGAGAAAATGGTATCTACGACAATATTTGGGGGCCTAGTGTGTGGATCGCTTGATACAAGTGATTATATGTCTCCCAGGGTCTATTTTTCATCACAGGAATGCGCTTTACATAACCTACCACACAACGCAACTGCTGGGATTTTAGGGATTATGGGAACAGTCAGCATAACTAAATTAGCAAGGAACTCAAAGTCAAAGCACATCAACGATGCTGTCCTCCAAACCCAAGTGCCCCCCCAACACCTACCACAAGCGACCCCGACCAGATCCTGCCCGAGGACGGGCGGCGCAGGATCGCGCAGCGAGGGGTTGGCCGGAGAAGACGAATCCCCGCGATGGCGACCGGAAATCCGTGGACGGGCGGAATCTCGCGCGCCGCACGGGCTACCGCCTCGATCAACCACCGCCGGAAACGCGATAGCACAGTCAGTGGAGATAGGGGTGGGGATCCAATCAGGCGTAGATGCCGAGGCGGAGGCGGAGCAGCCGACCTCACCGGCAAATGGTCGCGTGAGATCTCCATGGCCGTAGCCGCCGCCGCCGGCGGCAACGCAAGGACAAAGGTCATGGATATGATACGGCATGTGGGCCCCACTTAAATATGGCCCACCCTTCCCTCTCTTCTAACAGTTGCCCCAAAAAAAAAAAGAAAAGAAAAGAAAAAGGAGAAAAAGATGGGCTTTTAGCGGCAGAAGGACACGACGGCCGACAAGGCAAACTTCCAGAACTATTCAGCGTCGGCGTCGGCGGCGACGGCGAGCGGCGTGGAGAGACGCCACCACTCTGCCGCCTCCAGGGCAACGCAGTCCCCCAGCGCCACCGAGACAGTAGTAGTACTGCTATGGGGGCGGCAGCGGTGGCGCAATTGATGAGAAACGCCCGCCATGCTGTCGCCGGCGGCGGCGCCGATATGCATGGAGTACTCCGAATCCACTCTTCCCTAAATGTAATTAAGCTGAAAACTAGTACTAAATAGCTCCCCATTTGCTTGAAATTGCGAGATATGAACTCATAATTAACAAAACACTCGTCGATTAAGCCGGCCATCATACGAACAACACTTTGACAGACCAAGAACAGAAGGAGACGTGATCATACATTGGTGATACACACAATGGACTAGAACTAGAAGAAACACGCACTATTACACGATGACAATACAGCTCCAACAAGATAGTGATGCGGCCGGACAGGGGGGGCTTGTAGTACATGAGCCTTTGCGGCACTTACCAGAGCAGCGCCGCCACCGATAGAACGACCGCGGCGAGGAGCGGCGGGGCGGCGAAGTAGAGCAACTTCTTTCCGGCTGCACGGCGGGCAGCTGGGTTGTCGGACACCCAGACTGAAGCACCGACCAGGGCCACCCCGCCAAGGAAGGTCCCTGCGAGCCCCGCGACAGCGAGGTGGTTGTAGGTGGTTGTGCGGAGGCCGCCCGGCGACGGCTCGAACTCTGCGGCCAAAGTGGTGGCCATGGAGATGGCGGCGACGCCGAGCGCGCCCAGAGCGGAGGCGATCTTAGCCTCCGGTTCGCGGCGAGCATCACCCAACAGTAGCTTTGCCGCCGCCATTAAATCTCTCGACCGATTCGTGGCTGCCCGATCTTCTCCTCGTGAACTACAGAAGAGGGGGAGAGAGAGAGACCTGTGGGAGGGACCGTCGGAGTTGGGGTGGCTTGGTTGCTGGAGCTGGAGGTGCAAAACATATGCTCAGAAGATAGGCGGAGGAAGAAATATATATAGATGACAACGCAAACACAAACAAGAAATGTCAGTAGAAAATTTTGCTTGAGGACGCGAGCGTGCACACACTTAAAAAAAAGGTCAGAAGAAAGTCAGACGAAAGTCGCACATGGGCATGGGCCTCCCAGTCTCCCACTGACACGGCGGGACCTTTCTGTTCTGGGCCCACTTGTCATTCGGTCATTCCAGATACTCTTAGTACTCTGCCGCACGTAGGATAACTAATTATGGGCTGTTTCGGTAGTCTGTCTGTCACTGGACTGTGCTTCATGTACAGGTCAGCCATTCGACTGCAAGTTTGAACGCGATAGATTGGTTATATAAGATTTGGAGTATACTATTAAGGGGTTTAGCCCTTCTCTCCCAAACACCCCCTAAACTTGCTCTTAGGGTCTGTTTAGTTCGCGAAAAGAAAATTTTTGGGTGTCAAGTCGGACGTTTGACCGGATGTCGGAAGGGGTTTTGACACGAATGAAAAAACTAATTTCATAAGTAAACCGCAAAACGCATCTTTTGAGTTTAATTAATCCGTCACTAGCACATGTGGATTACTGTAGCACTTATGGCTAATCATGGACTAATTAGGCTCAAAAGATTCATCTTATGATTTTTCTCTTAACTGTGTAATTAGTTTTTTAATTTATCTATATTTAATACTCCATATATGTGTCTAAAGATTTAAAATGATGTTTTTGGGAAAAAGTTTTTGGAAGTAAACATGGCCTTAACCGAAAAGCCCAAATGACGATCATGTCTTTAAACAAGGAAGCTTCTGCGAACTCGCATAATTCTGCCGTTTGATTCAACACCGGCTTTTTTTATACGTTCGGCCTTCGGGCACACGTCGACCCGTCCCGTGTTTTTCCTTTTTCGTTCGGGGCACACGTTGGGGTCGCCATTTCCCCGGCTTTTCTGACCGCGAATTTCCCATAAATACATGGCCCACATAGTATTTTACTCCACTTCGGTTCTCTCAAATCGTTTCGTCCACACTCCACAGTCCACCACCGGTAGGATGACACGTTGGTGACGTCATCCCCGGCCGGGGGCTTTTCTGCCGGCCTCCTTTTTCTTCTGATCGACCGATCAGCTGAGAGATTGTACGTGAAGACGGGAATAAATTAACACACGCTCTCTCTTTCTCTCCTCCTTTTATTTTTGACTTTGGTAGAGCTCGAGGGCGTATCTTTAAATAGGATTCAAATTAGTTTTTATACCGATAATTATCTCTTTCTTTCTTGACCAATAAGATTGCCTGTGGTATTGTTTCCTTCCAAGAATTGGTCTTGTTTGTTCAATCCTTCACCCAACTGCTATTATGATGTGGAATTAATCCCTCTAATACTTTCTTATGGAGATTAAGCGAACCACAAAAACATAACAATTAACTACTGAACACCCAACATATTATTTTATTATAAGAGAAAAGCCTGAATTAACCCCTAAACTACTGCGATCGACCTAATTAAGCCATGAACTTGAATACAAGACACATTGACACACCCAACTGCTCAAACCAAATAAGCCTCCACCCCCTCTCAATCCAAAGTGGTTTTGGTCCTACATAACTTGCGCACAACATTCAACAATTATATTTTAAAAATTGGTAGGCCTACCTATCATATTTTCTCCTCCCATGCAAACGTATAAGGCATATCCGGAAAAAAAATATTGCAGAAAAACCATAATCATGAAGCACAATATGACAATTTCACAGGCAACAGCTTCCATTCGATGAAACATTTTTAATTATTCTATTGCACATTTGAAATGCTGAAACATGGAAAATTCAAAATATAGAGCAAACTAGCTTATACTGAGTAGTGGAGATTGTGGAGAATATCGCATCAAGACGCAAACAGATCACCGGAAGAAAAAGAACTGCACAAAGCTACCCAAATGATTCCGCGCTCGCTTGGGCCAGGCATCCGGGAGACGTCGCAGCCCACATAAAATTGGATCGCAACCAATGGTTGCGACTGACTTGAAACTAGAATTTTCGATGGGCCTGCGTGGACTGTATGGCCGTGTCCAGGGCCCAATGCTGGGCTTCAAGTTGTGGGTTTCTCCGGCCTTCCCCACAGCGTCATTTCTGTCAGCCTATCACAACCATAAGGAATCACTTTGGGTCCCTCAATTTGTCCCCCAGTCTAATTTTCATACTCAGTCTAAAAAACCGAATACAACGCATTCCTCAACTTACAAAACCGTACAGAAAAGGTCCCTCGGCAGTACTATGCCCGGTTTTGGATGACGTGGCGCCTACGTGGCTCCCTTTGACTATGTCCTCGTCCCACGTGGCATTGACGTGGTGCTTATGTGGCAATTGAATCCCAGAAAAATAATAGTAAACCATGGGACCCACATGTCAGCCACACAAAAACAATAAGAAAAGGTGGGGCCCATGTGGTCCCACATGTCAGCCCCCTCTCCTCTCTATCCCCCCCCTCTCTCTCTCTCCCAGTCTCGTACAGAGCGGCGAGCGGCGGCGTAGAGGGGAGCAGTGGGCGAAGGCCGAGCGAGGAGGCAGGGGGCGGAGCTATGTATAGCTAGGGGGGTGCCCAGGAACCCGGTTCAAACAAAATTTTAGCTATAGTTTGTCTATTTTCACCATATATATACTCTGTCAGTTCAAAGTTAGGCACTCGTATTAAGCTAAATTTGATTCAAACTAGAGTAAAGCAAACAAGTGGAACCCCCCTTCATTTTGTGCTAGCTCCGCCCCGAGGAGGGGCAGCTCGTGGCAGCCGGGCGAGGAGGGAGGCGGCGCGCGGCGGCCGGGCGAGGAGGGACGGCACGCGGTGGCTGGACATCGCGGCAACGACGACAACCGCTGACGGCGACCTTTTCCTCTGCCTCTTCCTCCTCCTGACGGCAACGATGACAACCGTCGAAGGCGGACATCTACGCCCTCGACATCGAAGGCGAAGACGGAGAGGACGCTGACGGCAGACGAGCGGAGGCGTTGAAGATGAGCACGATTGCGGGCTCCGCACCAGGAACCGGAGCCTGCCATCCCTTTTCTAGCGAGCGCGGCAGCTCCACGCCGTCGGCCGCTCCGCCCGCGATGCCCAGCCGCCGCGCACCGCCCCTCCTTGCCCGGCCGCCGCGTGTCGCCTCCTTCCTCTTCCGGCCGCCGCGCCGCCTCCCTCCTCGCCTGGCCACCCGCCGCCTCCTTCCTCGTCCGTCGCCTGCCGTCGTCCGCCCACCGCTCCCCTCTGCACCACCGCTCGCCGTTCTGTACGAGACCGAGAGAGTGGGGGGGGATAGAGAGGAGAGGGGGCTGACATGTGGGACCACATGGGCCCCACCTTTTCTTATTGTTTTTATGTGGCTGACATGTGGGTCCCACGGTTTTTTATTATTTTCCCGGGATCCAATTGCCACATGAGCGCCACGTCAATGCCACGTGGGACGAGGACCTAGTCAAAGGGAGCCACGTAGGCGCCACATCGTTTAAAACCGGGCATAATACTGCTGAGGGACCTTTTCTGCACGGTTTTGTAAGTTGAGGGATGCGTTGTATCCGATTTTCTATACTGAGGATGAAAATCAGACTAGGTACAAATTTAGGGACCTAAAGTGAACTTATTCCCAACCATAATGGTTGTCAGCTTTGCACAGGTTAACATGAGTACTAGAAATAATGGCGCGTCTTTGCCACGCCCAATTGATATTAGGCCAATCTAATTCTAATTTATCTATAGCTTAGATTTGTTTGATATTAGTGTACATAGAGGTCTAGATAAAGCATCCATCAATTTTTTCCTTAATAACGAATTAAATAAATAGTCGTTGGGACTTGAGATGAAAATTGTGCAAGAAAAAAACAACACCATTGCTAGCATGAAAAAAAATGTATTGTCCTGAATGGATGCTTGTTAGTGTTTCCTAGGATTTTTTCGATGTCATCTGCAAAGTCCAGTAATTGGGTGATTGTCAGTAATTGCAACAAGGTAAAAAGGAAATGTAAAAAGGTTAGAGATAAAATAATTTTATAAAATTAGGTATAACAGTATACCATTTCCGCTTGCTAACGTTTTGATCTAGAGTGTCTCCAACATTCAGTTTTGGGCTTGTTATGCAATGGGGCTTGTGACTCTCCTGAATTATCTTTTTTTGCCTTTTCCTATAATTTAAGAATTTGTTTATTTTCCCTTAACCTTCTGCAAAGATTGTGTACTACATTTGAAAGAACATCAAGCTAAGACATCACGAACTTATCCAATACCCTAAATCACACATCTCCGGTTTCTTTATTACTTGAGACTGGACAACTAAGAATCAACCACCGATCTATTTCGCCCCATTGCCCTTCTCTTAGTCCCATTGTACTTTCCAGTGTGCAGCGCCAGTGAGTCTGTATATGTGCCATTACGGGAGCACACCTGCGTGGCTCGCCCATTCCCTCGTAGAAGTTGATGGCGTTCTTGTTACATTCCAGCACGCACCACTCCATACGCCCTATCCAGAGCTCGTCCATCTTGCCGGCCATGACAGACATCATCTTCCGGCCCTCCACGCACAGTTCTTATTGCCTCATTATATCCTTTATTATGTTATTTCCAAGCAAACTTTGTTATAATAAATATTGTGTTAGCAATTGTCAGAAAGATATATAATTGAGCTGTCTAAATATATATATGTACAATGATGAAATATATATTCAAAAAATAAGTGTAGTAATAATATGCAACTGTCTCCTTATACTATTTCTATGATGGTATATCCATAAGTCAAATGAAGAATTAGCTTGGTTTATAGAGTATACAATATCATTTCCAGAACTAAGGAGCAAAAGTTGTAGTGTTGGGCAAAATATGTTTAACATCTTTGTCAATAGAGTTGTTGGAAAGAGCAAGGGCTGTCATTTGATCAAAAGCAAAGAATTGAAGTAGCACAGTTTATCCATAATTTTTGAAGAGTTGATAGACAGCAAACTAAATAGGACATAAATAAATATATAAACTGATGTTTTTCTTAAGAATGGCATATATGAGCAAACACACTAACCAACTGGAGTATTTATTTGTTTCTTTCTTATTTGCTTCTTAGTATGGAACAGGTGCAGAATTCAAAGGTTCATAAACTATGCCTATTTATCTTGATATTATGTACGGAGTAGATAAATTACTAAAACAATCTTAAAGATTTTTTGGATGGTGCTAAAAAATGGAGTGTGATTAAAACCCAACCTTGTTAAATTCCATGTGAAATCGCAATTTCATTAATCAAGTGTGAACAAGATTAACACATTAATTGAGCTGACAAAGTAGTACTTACCAACATATCCATGAAAGCATCTCCATTATCCCAGCTCATAGTTGCACACACCTTGTCCATTGTAGTCTTGCTCGCACCCCTTTGCACCTATAAACCGTTTCAGAAGAACAACCAAATTAATCCAGGGAAAGCTCAAGCAATCCGAATTGGTCAGTGACAAAGACACGCCGGCATCACACTTAGTAAGCCATTTGCCAATCTCAGGTTTTCACGGCACGCCACGGTATGTCACCATATGAGTCAGAAGGGAACTGCCCTCTAAGACGTGAGTCCACCATTGTAACTCCTGGCAGCACATTCCTTGGTCGGCCAATGCTTCGACCAACACCAAAGTAATCCAACGAGGAAGGTAGGATTGAGCATCATCAGGGCGCCAGCCACACCCATGAATGCCCATGGACATTTCGTCGAACGCATTGTGTGCATGATCAAACTATCATCTGAAAGCCATAGTTGTTGCCCCCCTCGGCGGCTCCCACGGGGTGGCAGTAGTTGGGGACCATGCGGAACCTGGGCACGGTCCTCAAGTCGACGATGTTCCTCCACCGGCCGATGAACCTCGGCACCATCGCCACGCCTCCTCGCCGCCGATGATAGATCCAACGAGATGCCCGCGTAGCCGCGACATGTGGAGGCGCAGGGGATAGAGAGGCTTCGGTGCAGCGGGGAGGAGGTCAGGGCGAAGGTCAGCGGCGGTGACGCGGCGGATGTGCTGAATCAGGCGGCGGTGACGCTGGAGAGGAGACGGATGATGGGGGGATTGAGTGCTTTTGTAAGAAAACCCCTCGATTCTCGTATATTACAACAGGCTCCACCACAACGATCTCTCACCGTTGAAATGCAATCGGACGGCTGTGCGTGGGAGCGAATCCGTGAATCTGGCCGCGCCACGTGGAGGTGCTATTTGCACGGGAATCCGCATAGAATTCGATATTAGAGATTAGCCCCGAACTTAACTCTTAAGAGCCTACTAGTACACAGCTGCAGGAAAAAATACGCACAACATTTACCCTATCTCTTGCTGCCAAGCTTTCAGAATCGATCACGGCAGCATAAAGCATCAACTCCTGGATGTTTTGCTACACATCGGCAGTTTTGCAATGCAACCAGTACATTTTTCAGCGCAACCAACAGAAATTTGTGAACTCGGTTTAATATAAATGTTGGCATAGAAATTAGTAATTTATAACTACTAGATATCGTGCACGTGCAAGGAACTATAAACACCTTACAATGGAATTTGCCCATGCCACTCGTAACAACTCTTCTAATGTACAGAAATACAAACCCATGAAAACCACCCCCAGTGAGTACACGACCTGTATATATATTGGGCTGCGGCCCACGCGATGGTTCACCCTCTGCTGGCCCGAACCTGTGTTGCGATCCCTAACGGCAATTATTATGGGGTGCAATAAGTTCAATTGAGGCCCCTTAACTTTATACCGAATTCGATTTTCATCCTTGAGCCCAAAAACCAGATACAATGGCCCCCCTAACGTACAAAACCAGTGCGAACAAGGTCCCTTAACAGTATTATATTGTCATCGGTTTTGGCTGACGTGGCACCCACGTGGCACTAGGAGTAAAATTTTAAAAATTAAACCAAAATATATGGGACCCACATGTCAGTCAAACAAAAGGATAAAATAAATAGTGGGACCCACATGTCAGTGGATCCCACTTTCTCCAGCTCACCCTCTCTATCTTCTCAGCACTCGCAGAGAGGGAGCAATGGCGCAGACTGGCTGGGGGATGAGGATGCCAGTGAGAGCGCGCTGAGAGGAGGCGGCAGGGAAGCCGGCAAGCACGCACAGAGAGGGAGGAGGTTGGGAGGCCGGCAAGGGGGACGAGGAGGCAGCGAGGAGGGCTGAGAGGCCGACGAGCTCTTCCAAGTCCAAGTCCAAAAACGGAGGAGGCCCGCAGCGGCGATGTGGGAGCAGAGGCTCCTAGACCTCCCAGCGGCGGTTGAGCTCGGACGTCACAGCCGTCACATAGCTCCTGCCTACCGCCAGTCGCGCTGCTCCCTGTCGATTGCCGGCTGTTGTCCTTCTCCTTGTCAGCTGCGCCTGCCACTCCATCGATTCTGCGGCGGCGACGGTGAGGAGGAGGAGAAGTAGAGGCAAAGGCAGAGGCGGAACAGAAACCTAGCTAATAGGGTGGGGATGCGATCGAGGCACTCCTCTTCTTCTCCCTCTCGGGGAACAGAGGGGAGAGTGTGGGGGAGGTGGAAGATAACGTTGTATTATTGACATGTGGGTCCCACCATTTTTTAATCTTATGATGTAACTAACATGTGGGCCCACTTTTTATTTTTTTATTTAGGTCATACTGCCACATTAGCGTCATGTGGAACGAAGACCTAGTCAAAAGAGCCACGTAGGCGCCGCGTCAGCTAAAATCGAGGACAATACTGCCGAGGAAACTCGTTTGCACTGGTTTTGTAAGTTAGGGACCTGTTATATCTGGTTTTTCGGTTCAAGGATAAAAATTAAATTCAGTGTAAAGTTAATGGACCTCAAGTGAACTTATTCCTTATGGGGTCCACGTAGTTTGCAACTAGATCCATTCTAGCCCAACTAAATGTTTTTGTCTGGGTTAATCATTTTAGATAAATACCATTACAATTTACGATATAGCCTGCGTGCCACTAGAATTTGGGGAAAATGGAACCCTCGACTGTTCACGCGATATTGGACCGCAGCCCTGATTCACCCTAACATGTATATTGCGATCCCTAACGTGGCCAAATTATTATGGGCTTCACGTGGTTAATTGGTGACTCCGACACTCCGGCTGTGTTTAGTTCCACGCTAAAATTGGAACGATGTAACGGAAAAGTTGAAAATTTATGTATGTAGAAAAGTTCGATATGACAGAAAAGTTAAAAGTTTAAAGAAAAAAATTGGAATCTAAACATAGCCTCCGTTCCGGTCCAACTATACATATGAGATGAGCAGTCTGAACGCGGCCGAAGGCGGTTCTTTTTGGCTGCGTCACTGCATACGGTCCTACTCGATCCTGTCTGCCCAACGAAGTACATAAAATATCTGCAGGCTGCGTTTCGCCGCGTACCTGCCCTTAGCGGATGCTAGCTGTACAGTAAACCTCCACCCCTCCCCGTCCACAGAAACACCACTCACGACGCCTATACGCAGCTGTCTTCATGTCCCAACCGCCGGTGTCGCTGCGGTGTATGTTATGCACCATCCGAATGACAAGCGGGCCCACGTCTGGTGGGCCCCGCCGTGTCGGTCAGATGAGTCGAGTAGAGCCCGGGTACACCCCGATACCGAGTCAGTCAAACGCACCGTGATTTTGTGCAACGACGACCCACAGAAAACTCATGGCAGCTAGTAGTAATACGTGATTATATATATACATATCTCTTCGAGGAAGATCGATGCAATACTTGAAGAAGGGGGAAACTCTAGCAAATTTGATAGAAGCAAACTCTAGTATTTATTTCTTTGGGCCTTAATTCTAGCTTCGATCTCAAATTAGTCTTCGAAATTAATCAAGATATGGTGGTGGCTGTTACTCGGCGGGACGAAGCGGAGGCCAACGTGGACGCGGCGCTGTGGGTGCTCGGCTTAGCCACCATTTCCGCGGCAATCACCTTGGCTACCACCACCACGCCGCTGCAAGCTGACTTGGGTAATAACGGCGCTGCCTATTACTCCTACCTTGCACTTGCACTTGCAGTGGTGACCTTCCTCGCCGGCGTGGCCCAGGTTATCGCTTTCGTCTGGGTCTCCGACGACCCCCGCCGTGCCGGCGCCGCCGGCAACTGGTTCTTCGTCTACGCCTCTGTCGCCTCGCTCGTCGTCGCCGTCAGCGCGCTCGCCGTGCTTTGATAGGTAAGCGTGGCTTATTGACGACAGAGCTGGCTAGATTGTTCATTCAGTTGCCCCATATAAATATAGCATATCTCATCGCCCGGCCATCGATCGATCGACCAGAGCCAAATATTATGCAGACAATAATTCACGGTGCATGCCTAGCACCTGCAGGTTGCGTTTGTCGATTCAGTCTCGGTGTGTGTATCAGCGTCATGTTGTCAATTACTGTCTGGATAAATGAATTTATCTTATGTATGTGTGTTTTGTTGATCCTACACATTATTTCAAATGAAGTACGAACAAAAAAGACGATTAATTGCCAGCTTAACTACATGGGGGCGAAAAAAAGAGCCAAGTGGTATTCTTTCTTTCAAGTTCCAAGAGCATTTATGTTCTTAGTGGGTTTTATAATTCATGACAAATGTATTTACACCTAAATTTAGCACCTAGGGATGAAATAGGGGAAAACTGCTAAAGTTTGGCTAAATCGAGGTGATTGGTGACTCTATATCACCGCAAGACGTTTAGATGTTACAATCATGTTTGTCGACTTGTCACAAAAAGTTGCCAACGAAATAATTAAGAAACTAACGTGTTTATTAAGTATCAAGAGAGCGCAATATATATGACCACAACGATGGGCATAAGTGTGTTTGCATCCCTCGACTTATATGCTGTGATCGATTAGTATCCCTCAATTACAAAACTGAGTATAAAAGCATTCCCTAATTATCAAAATCAGTACAAATCAACTCTCTCTCGGTGGTCTTTTTGAGCGGTTTTGTTTAACTTATCATTTTGACTCGGTCCACACACATACTGACGTGACGTTTACGTGATAATTATATATTCTAGGAAGAAATCAGAAAAACCATAGGGCCCTCATATTAGTCATGTGGAAAAGGTAAAAAAAAAACACGGCCGCCACCACAGTTTTCTCTCTCTCCTGTAAGGCCCCGAGATAGCTGAGCTCTAGTGGGTGGCGACGGCTAGGGGAGGCTTCATCATCTCCGTCATCAACTGTTGACTGCTGCTGTGCTGAACATCATAGATAAGGTAGAAGAAACCATTAATATCACCACGGCAGATCATGCATACAACAACATCGCCGAGGATTACAACTGCAATGCGTTCATTCGAATATGGCCGATGGCAGGTGCAGACCTGCAGTACCACGCTTACATTTTTCAGATGTTTTCAGCAAATGAAGTTTTATATCAGCTTGAATTTGCTTTCGTGAGATAGTGTGATGGGAACAAAACCTTATGTAGAAGCAACCTTACGTGCTCAGATGAAATCATTTGTATCATGGAGCTCTTCTTATTGCCTCCAAACAATGGAAATGTTTTTTTTTTTTTTGAAACAAACAATGGAAAAGTTTTGCATAGACAGGGGTTGGCGAATTAAACTCCGAACCTCAACCACGCGATTTATTCGTGCTCAACTGGATCGCCACTTTATGGCCCATTAAAGCTTTGGGCATCGTTTTGGGAGAAATTTGTAAGCCCAAGTCAACCCATGAAAATATGGATAGCTGCCCAAGTCAGCCCAAGTTTAGTTGGGCCGAGCTCACTGTGATAGTTGGATCATGTCCAGGCTGCGGGGATATGCACAACATTACTTGATATTCATTCTCGCTGCCAAATTTTCAGATTCAGTCACAGCATCACAATGCACTAAATCACGAATATTTAGTGCAATTTAGTCATAAATTTTGATATACAAAATGGTATGGTTATAACTAGTCTGAAAAAGGCTGAAGATTGCACACAAACAACGGTAAAAGCCTAATATTAGAAAGGAGATTGAGCATCCCTCTCCTAATAACAAATCTTCCGAATTCCGATTATTACATGACATGCCAGGAAAACTGTCATACTCACCAGTCTCCCACATGTGAAAAATACAGACAATGGCAAATATACAAAAGTTGGGCTCCTCA